GGCGTCGGGAGTCTGATATGAGGGCCCGGTGTTGGGTATCGGGAGCCTGCCCTGAGGACCTGGAGTCGAGTGTCGGGAGTCTGACCTGAGCAGGGCGCGCTGAGCCCGGTGCTGGGCGTCGGCCCGCAGTGTGCCGTCGTCAGCGCGCCGGAAGGTGAGGCCGCCGATGTCGAGCCGCGGCGGCGCCGGCGGGCCGTGGCTGAGACGGCGCAGGCGCCGGCCGCCCGCCTCCACACGATATCGGGCGCCCCGCACGCTGATGCAGCCGGGCGCCGCCGCTGACGACCGGCCCCATCCGTCACCACAGACGGCCGCAGGCAGGTGGCGGCACACATCCACACCCGGCGACGCCACTCAAACCTCAGACTCAACACAACCTACTTCTGCCGTTATTTTACGATCTTTATATATATATATATATATATATATATATATCAGTTCATTTAGTCAAAAACATACGGATGTGAATGTTCTGAATGATAAAGTTTCATACGTTTCCAGGGACAGCACCCCACGGTCCGGGGGAGCGATGCTGGACTCGTAATACAGCGGCGTTGAGTGCGGGTGCCGGAGCGGACACAGAGATTGGACCCGCTGATATGAGAATTTTGGCGAACTGGCCGTAGAGGGTAAAATCCTTACACAGAGCCGGCTTGTTTGCCATTTGCAGAGGAAGCATAATCTACATTGTAAACATGAACTTCTGAAACTTGGTCTTGACGATACACCGTATTAGACATGAACTGCGACTGGGAATGCCAACATACGCGAGCAGCACCCAGGGCGATGGCTCATGGCTAGCTCAGAGCAGGCAAGAGCCGCGCGCGTCACCACAATGGCCAGCCACTTACCTCTGCTCGGCTCGGGGGCGGGGCGGCTGGGCCGGGGGACGGCTCTCTGCAGCTTCCGGACCGTCGACTTGTACAGCAGCCCGCCGATGTTGACGAACCGGACCGATCCCAGCATGAGCGACCCACCGCTCCTGACAAACCGAGCTCAGCGTCAATCGGTTGGCAGCAGCCATCGCGAGTAACACCCGGGCGCCCATCATTCGGTCAAAGGTCATCACTTCCGACGTGAACTTAACGGTGCGCATCCAATTGTGTCTTGGAAGCCCATCCCATTCCAAAATGTACCCACAACAAATCATTTTGCACTTCCAAAAACCATTTCTAATTCAGACAGGGAACCTTTCAGAGAACTTGTGACCGCAACGCGGTGGCTGGGCAAATCTGTCACCGTCGAATAATCCCTCAATTCACCGCCGATAAATATTTTATAAATCGAATACGCCATATGTGACATTTTTCCACTCAATGTTAGCAAAACGCAAGCAATCTAAACTAGCTCTACCCAGACGCCGTGCGCCACATCAGCTGGGCATCGAGACACTGCCTCTGAATGCCGATCGGTAAACTCACGCGAGGCGCGGGCTGGACGCGCTGGCGCTGCGCCTCCGCCACGTCCTGTGCTGGGAGGCGACGGGCCGGGGGGCGTTCGGGGCGGTGCGCACCAGGCGGAAGCGGTTGGCGGCTGCCGCGCCGGACGCCGGCGGCGGACCGGTCCGCACCCCCGCTCCCGCTGCCGACCACCGCCGGCCGCCTGAGGAGACAGCCACACGCGGTCACCGACCCCTCCCTCGACGGTGAGACCCGCACGCCGGCCGCGGCGCTGACCGCTGCCAGCGACAGCGGCCAGCGCACGGTCTAGAGGTGCAGACCCGCCCAAGGCCGCGGCCACGGTCAACAAGGGTGGTCAGAAATATACATGGATGTACATGGGAACAAGAAGATGCAAAGGCCTTAGCACCACTGTAAACAAGAATTGATGGCGATGATGTTTAGTTTTCGCGCGCTTCGGCGTCAGATAATTTTTTGCCCAACTCTGGATAGTGCAAGCCACCAGTAAGACAATACTGGGACCGTGCGCAGCGATCGCCTTACCTGGGCTCTGCAGAGGGGGTTTGCTGACGACCTGCTGCACGCGCGGTGTGGAGGCTACCCTCACCAGCTTATGCCTGGTGTGGACGGCCGGACGGCGCAGCGTCGGCGCCGGCGCCGACGGCGGCGGCGTTTTGACATCCTTGGAGACGCGGCGGACAAGCTTCCTGGCCGTGATCAGCCGGTATCGGGAGAGGGAGCGCGAGCGGCGGCGGGCGGGCCGGCCACTGGGGCCGGCGGTCGACCCGTCCGTCGGCTGGTGCGCGCCGAGTCCGCCGCCGCCGGAGCCCGCCGGCAGCACGGAGAGGGCCGGGGCCGGGAGAGCCGACCCACTGGCGGCGCCATCCTCGGCCGGCGACGGGTCGGGTGCGCCGGCCGACGCCAGTTCAGATGGTGGGCGCCGAAAGTTCGGGTTTATGTGGACACTTGCTGTCACTGTCACAGGAACAAACTTGGGATTCATAAAAACACTCGAGACCTTCTGCTGGCTGACAGATGGAGAGACTTCCTCAGTTTTGGCAGAATGCATTTTCTTCTTGGATGCTGGCAAGGAGTTTGTGTTGGCAGCTCCAACTGCCAGTTGCAGGGTAGATTCACTGGAGTTTCCTGGTTTATGCCAGTGCTGTGACCTTTTATTCAGTGATGTGGAGAGTCTGCTTACACCAGTGGAGTTTCTAACCCAGTGCTTGCTTGGTTTTCTGGTGTTGTATCCTTTACCTGGTATAAAATGAAGCTGCTTTCTTTTCTGCATTTCAATTTGCCCTGAAACCAAATGCAGCCCAGTAAATTTCATAACACAGCCAAAAACTTACAGAGATGTGTGATTATGTGCATATGTGGTGATTAGTCAATGTGGATGCTAGCATTAGGAATTGGAATCATCAAACTCACAGAATAAACTTGCATGTGATTCCATATTTTGCAGGATTTTCAAACTTAAGAAACAGTACCATTCAAATACCCAAGCAACTGAGAAGATGCCCAAAGCCCATGCTTTTGGCTACTGGTAGCTCACAGCATGCAATAAAATATTAAGGCTTTTCCACACCAACCCATTTATCTGATGGCAAGATACCAATAATAGCAACCAATACTAAGACAAATTTCAAGGATATCTGCCAGTATGAAGAGATTGCAGCAATTGATTGATCAAAATATTATTCATAGTCCTTTGCTCCCTGACAAAAACAACGATTTAGGTGCGTGGGTGGGTTAGCAGCCTGACTGGCTACTACCCCATGCCAGTGCACAAGATAAGCCCATTTTCCACATCAGATGCCAACACAACATTGGTATGCTGAACCTTGCATTCATGATTGCCAAACATAAATCAGGCCAAATTGTGCTGGACTTTCCATGAACTTGCTGGCAAATGTGTCCAGGATACTCTTGCTTGATACTGCCTTGGTAGCAACTTGTCTTGCAGCCTCGGATATCGGTATTGAAATTGGTGGAGTGTGTAGTAAACTCTGAGCACTCAAATTTGCAGCGAACATGCACGGAAGTGATATCCACGCTGTCACTGCCACGCCAGACATGTTCACTTGATGTCTGTTTTCAAAGTCCATGTAATTCAACTTACTGGTTAGATCCGTGATCTGCTTCAGTAATATCTTTTCAGTGTCAGATGCCATTGGCCTTATCACTTTCCAAACCTTAGTCTGAAATAAAACGATGTCTGATGCCCTGACCGGAGCCAGATCCCACCGATTCACCAGAACAGCCTGCGATCCCACCACAACACCCTCGCGATGGACCCTACAAGAATCCAAAGGCAACGAATGCATATGGATGAAACAGGATGTATAGCCTCGAGCCCGACCTTGAAACTCTAGTGACGCAATCGTCCCAATCGCCGCATAAGCAACGGTTGTCACTCAGCTGATTACTATTCTTCTTCAGTCTAGGGACTCGTTGGATTTTACCGCATGCTAATGCATTGCGTTGAAAAGCTTGCCCTCGTGGCGAAGCCTTCTGTCCTGGTTTCGTGTAGTGGCGATGACATCACGAAGCATCGATGAGTCATGCATGTTCTAGAAACATGTTCCCCGTGGCTCATTTAGTTATAGCACCCGCCTCTCAGCCTACCCGTGGCGGGATGGTAAGCTGCTTTGCGCGGCTCTTGCTCTCAGAAATCCATGCAATGAAAATGCTAAGACAAAATTTATTTTAAAACGTTTGAGTCGAATATCATGAGGCTATTGCTAGTGATGTCAGTTAAGCAGACATCCCATAATACCGGGCAGTTATGTTATCTCGAGTGACCCCCAAAAGGTCAGTTCTTCAATTGTCAAACAGCGTCTCCCATTTTAGATATATATATGGATACATATAATCCCAGTTATCCTTTAAGTTGAAGCTCAAGACCTCTACAAACCGTTGTGACGTAGTTGCTGCGGCGCCACGTTGTTCAGAGGAGCATTGTATAAGAAGCGGGAAAAAGTGGTATTCTTAGGTTTATTCGCAGGCAATACCAAATGGTTAGATGGGTCAAAGCGTTGATGCTATCCCAGTTCGAGTAATCGCTTCCTGACTGAATGAGTTTTGCGTGACCAAACCCACTTGATCAAAATCGGTCTGGTGCCATAACCTGAAGTGCAATGAAAACCCCTATCACCGCAGCGACCAAAGCGCATTCCCGAGACGACAGAATTGCTGCAATCTGCTAATAATGCCAACAATCAGCCAACAGTTGGAGATTAATCCGTCCGCGAGATTGCAGACCGTTGAGCTGTGCAATTTTTACGCTTTAAACGGAGCCGATGATGGATCGCAACAGTAACTGGTATCTCTTCTGCCCGGACCGTTCACGGAGTTCCGCTGGTTATCATGGTCGGTATCATGGCCAAGCAACCAATAGAGATGCCACCTGGCCGAGCAATTCCAGAGACTCAAGGCACTGTGCTAAGTCACCATGACGTCAGACAGGTGACGTCCTCGCACCACGCCCGGGTGGCGTCGGAGTGGGGAGGGGGCACTCCCACCGGGCGCCGCATCGACGACAGGCTGCGCCGGTCGATACGGCGGCGGCGGCAGCGGCGGCTGACGTTACACAGCCGGCTGGCTGGGTGCGTTTATTACAAGTCAGAGCCGAAGGGAAGTACCGAGTACAGACGCTTGACGACGGAGCGAACCGATACCACCACGAGCGGCACGGGCTCTTGGGCGGAGCACGAACCGATGAAGCCCGACGTGCGCCTCACCCGCACCCTGAACAAAGCCGAGCGTAAAGGGCTCGCGATCTTAAAAGAAATAAAGCAAATGTAAAACTATAAAAGAGAGCAGCCTGGGCCGCGGCACCTAAAAGCTTTACATACTGCAGTCGAGATCGCAGTTGGTGCCCAACAGAACGTGTAGGAATGTCAATTAGCTACCACATACGACACGGCGCGTCAAACTCCGTTAAAGCCTCACTAATCTCGTCAGTCTTCCACCTAACGTCAATAGAGGCCGGTAAAAGGGTCACGTCGACATGACACAATATGGCACGCTCTGGCGCAAGGTGATTAGTCAAGACGAAACTGCCAGACGTCCGTAATGAATGCAACATACACACTAGCAGCTGCCAGCTGCAGTAGCAACACTACATGAAAAGCTTATGCACAAATAGACCTAATAGCCGTACACATGGTTGGTTGGCTAGCTAGCACGTGACCAGTAGCTCTCTGCTGCTCTACTGACGCATCGGTGGCCACTACACAGCGAGGGCTCAAGTTCGACATCGAACGCCGAACGGAATCGGCGGACACCGACGCGACGAGCACTACGCGGTGCCAGCCCTGGCGCGCCCACACGTGGTAAGCCGCGGTTGCGCCGCCCAGCAGCGCCGACCGGGGGCCGCGGGCCGGCGCGGCGCCGTCTACTTGCTCTCGAAGTACCGGTAGGTGGGGTTTTCGTAGCCGTTGACCTGCATCTGGGCCAGGTGGCGCTCCTCGGGCGTCACCGCCTGGTCCACTTCTGTGAAGCCCTGCCGGTGGGGCGCGCGCTGGCGGCGGCGCAGCGCCACGGCGCCGGCCACCAGCGCCACGGTCAGCGCCAGGCTGGCCAGCGCCACCGTCACGTACATGCTGCGGCCGCTGCCGGCCGCCGGCACCGCACCCAGCACGCGGTACGTCGCCTCGCCGTGCACGTGCTCGTGCGCCTGCACGTGGGCCACGACCGGTTCCAGGCGCCGCTCGGCCAGCGCCTGCGGGCGCCGCTCCACTTCCACGTCGATGTCAATCCGATTGGCGTTGTCGGATGTCCAGGAGGCGTCCGCGGCGCTGGTGGCGGCCGGCGCACTGGGCGTCTCCTCGTCGGCGTCGGTGGCATGATACACCAGCTCAGCCGGAGTGGACTGCTGTCCGCGCAGTTCCATAGACAGTCGCGTTATGTCTGGCAGGATGGCAGCCTTGATGTCCGGGTAGCGGTCCAGCATTTGCACGCTCTCATTTACCATGCGCTGGATGTCGTGCAAGTGCTCCACTGTGGCAGCCTGCTGGGCCTGTGCGCTGCTGGGGTTGGTCAAGACCAGGTGGTTGTAATGGGAAATGGTGTGATGCCTGTCTTTGTACAAGGCTCTGACCAGGTGGCTCAAACATCTCCTCACTGAGCCTGATGATGGTGGCTGCTCATTCAAGGATTTGACAAAACACTTCATGCCATCTTTCTTGCGTTCATTGATGTGAGCGATGATCCTCTGCTGGTGAAGGTCGATCAGCTGGTGCTTCTCCGCAGATCCTTGATCTTTCAGAGCATTCATCATCCTATTGAACCGTTCTGTCATTTTGAGCTTGAACTTATCAGCTTTTTGGGGATTTTTGTCTTTAATTTTTTGGTACCTCTCCTCCAACTCAGTCCACTCCTTCATGATCTTGGTGATCTTCCTGCGGTGTGCTGTCTCAAGTCTCCTTTCAGCAGCTTTGAAAGCATCATGCTCAATGCGAGGATCAAACTTGGTGAAGTAGGGGTCCCGTGTACTTTCTTCATCACCTGAGTCAGGCTCTGACGTGATCTCTTCTGTGTACATCTCTGAGGCTGGGGCCTGTGCTGCAGACTTTTTTCCAAAGTGAGAACTTGCCTTCTTTTTGCCTCCTGGACAGCAGACAAACTCCACCCCATTGTAGACTCCAGTACCACATGGCTGATGGGTCAGGACACTATCCAGTATCATACCATAGTCTTTGCAAGACTGATTTGAGACCCTGCTCCAGCCATTGAAGTCCAAGCACAGTGATTCATTCAGAATCCGATCAAATCTGCAGGAGTCAGGCACAGACAAAGAATCAGATCTGACATCATCAGCCAGACACCTGTAGGGTTTTACCCACAGTGTCTCCTTGCACTTTTTGTGGCCAACTTTGCACCAGTTTTCAATCAAGTGAGAGTGCGTAGACTCAACAGCGCTGACAAAGTCGAAATCGGGGTAAACCAGTCCACAGTACTCCAAGATGTCACTTTTCCTTTTCAGGCATCCCTTATTGTGTTCCAAGTCCGTGATCCAGTGCCCAGTATCGTCCATATATTGATTGTGGTACCGTGCGCCGCCTTTGTCACAGATCATGGCCACCTGCTTTTCTGACCGCGCCCGAGACGCATCGACGTTTGCGCTAACTGCCTCGACATAACCGTCAATGCAACTGACATGTAAATAACACAGTGCAGCCAGTAATAAGCTGCTTTTCCACTCCATTCTTGCCCAATAGGTGACGTAGAGCCGCCGCCCAAACCACCCCACTCGAGACTCCAACGACCACGAACAAGGTTCTATTATGGCAATAGTAGCTGGAGTCATACGCGATTTACTCACAATTTGACCAAGGCCAAACAGTGACGTCACTAGAACATTCTTCAATGGTCACCAACTTCTCATCACCGGAGCTCCGCCGTAGATTATATTCATAAGCATGGAACGGAGCTCTAGATAATTTCGTGGCGTCTTTCTATGCGATTCTGCAGGCTTAAAGTTTAATTCCGCACATCGAGGCAGGTATACGGTCGTCACGAAACTCAACTCACCCAAAAACACGAAACAGCCGCATAGCGCAAGACTCGGACACAGGCGGTGGTGAGCATAGATTATAAATGGTGGTGAGAGATACCTTTACGGTGGGCGATATGTTAACTGTCAGACTATGAATATATCCTGTAGCTTAAAAGTATCAGTTATAACGACTGACATAAAAACGACCTAACTATATCGGTTATGTCGAAATAAACCAAACTTTCAACTCAAAGTCCAGAAAACTTAAAATGTATCGATTCCAACCCGACTTCTCCACAAAGTTGGTTGAATTCAGAGTTGATTTCGAGCTTCACCCGGACGTAAGTACGACTATGCACATAAAATTGTGCAGAATCACCAAAATACGCATAGCCAGCCTGTTCATGTTGTGTCTGGAGTTCCCGATTGAAACACATACCAATGACGTCAAAGCAACGAAGAGTCAACAAAATGCCTCCAAACGCGAAAAGCCGAAGAGACATCAGCTGGCAACTGCAAATATTGGTCAACAAGGTTCGGGATTGCCTGACTCATGAGAATCGCTGTCGTTAAACAGGCACGAAGAACATGATAGTGACGTACATGGAGAACTTAATATAGACGCTAGCATGAAAACTTTTCTTTTCAAGTGCCACCTTAGATGAAATCATTGGAGTGAAGAGACGTACACACACTGTCGTTGAATTCACAAGTCCTATGACGTGTGCCGAGGCCTGTTGTTTTCCTATGAACAGCACGGCTTTCTTCTGAAATCGCGATTTCGTGCAAGTGGACGCATGGAAAGTCAGGCAGGTGGTTATATAATCCCATTGACCACATATAACCCCATTTACCGCATAGAAGAATTGTGTGGTCATCTGCGTAGAAGAGGTGCGTAGGAATCGTCCCAATCTATCTCTGAGTAAAGCGTTGGGGTGGGCAGTAGGCAGTGATTTCAGTATTTAGTCGCGTACAGTATCCGGCCTTTCACCAAAATAATGATGGAATGTCCACTGTCCAGGAATAGATTTGGCTGGACACACACCCTTAAGGTAGCAATGTATGCCATGACCATTGACTCAATTTACCATATCAAGGCTGTAAGTATACATGGAACCTAAATCTAGTATTGCCAAGTTCAGGGGGAATATTGGCAGAAACATCTATGCAAGAGTAGATTGCTTCTCTCACATGATTTTTGTTTCAATTTTCCACTCCTGAGTGATACTTCTTATGTGATGAACCTGTAGTGCTGTATGGAGGCTACTTAAATAGGAACAATTGCATTTCAGATAATCAAGGACCTAAATTGTTTATGCTTCATTATGCCAGATTTAAGCCCTTTACTCCTTGTCATTTCTACTTTTGGCTGAAATGGCATCCATGCCATGGTGGCATAGATTACATCTTGGACTGCTACATTATTTTGTACCTGTCTTAAAACCTGTGGCATATGTATGTCAGGTATGTTGCCTGCAACTGTAATTCAGCTAGTTTATTCACAGTTTCCAATGCCTTGTAAAACAAAACAGTGTTGTGCAGAATGACAGGGCATGGCTGTTTGCAGTCAAATGCACAGGGAGTAAAATGTAGGAGGAATGCATTTAGTCTGATGCTCATTTTACCACATCCTTTCCAGATCTGATCAGAACATAGCACAATGATGGCACAAGCACTTCACACTCTCATAGGCCATTACTGCAAGAGTGCCTTGATCATTTTGCCTTGCTCCCAAAATGTCAGGAATCATATCACCATCAATAAAGGTTTGTTTCTAGTGTGTTGATTTGCTGATGTTTTTGTAAGGTTATCTGTGCCATTTTTGGGTCCAACATTGTAGGCATCATTTTTCAATCATGCAGGATTATTTTTCATGTGCATGGGGTCTATGTAACATGAAGGTCTAAATCTTGTTTTAATCCAATGTTAACTTGTACCTGTACAATTGCATTGTGTAAGTGATATGATTAGTCATCTTTGGCCACCTAAAACATATACATGGCATGTGTTTGTGTGCTAGATGTGTTTGTTAAGCCCTCTTCTGCAAAGGCACCCCCAAAAATAAATCATCATAATTGCAGTAGGTTTTCACCTATTGTCTAAGTCCTAGCTTGTTTCAATTTTCTGACACATTTTCCCATCAGATTTATATGTAATGACTGTTCCAGGTCTGCGCCTCCTCGCCTGCGGGCGACATCTGCCAGCACGATTGGTAACAGGAACTTCACCTGCTCTCGCGCGGCCTGGTGTTGCTTCGCCGGCCGGCGCTCGCGCGGTGTCCGGCGCTCCGTGGCCGCCGACCTCGGCAGCCCTGCACACATCGGTGCCGCGGCCCGACCTTGACCCGCCGACCCCCAGCCAGCGCCAGCGGCTCAAGCTCGCCGTCAGAGACTACGGAGGCACCGTGATCGTGTTCCATGTCACGATCTCATTGGCCTCGCTTGGCTTTTTCTATCTCGCTGTGAAGAGGTGAGTGGTGGCCCGTCCCCATGGGGCCAGATCGCAGCACTGAAATGACCACTAATTTACCAGAACATACCAGCTTGGCTACATCAGAGCTATGGACCGGCGAATTATGACAGGGGATGTAGGCTTACTCCCCTCACCTTGGTCTCCAGCCCCTCCCCCTCCTCCCCGTCCGCCCCGGGCTACACTAACTTTGAGAAGAAAGTGGACCAGATACAGGTAAGTTCATTTTTTGACATATTTTCGGGATAGCTTTTGCATTTTTACTGTTCAGTTCCCCCCCCCCCCCACACACATACACACACGTATTGTGCGCCTGGTTACACAATGCCAGTGGTACCAGTTTTAAGGTCACTATGCATTAACCTGAGGCCGCGAGGATGTGGACAGCTTACGCAAAATGAATAAGTATTTCAAAGACGTATAAAATGGGAAGGCAGAAGGCCATCCAGATTTGTGCGTGATTGCGCTCCGACGGAACCTGTGCTGGATCAGACTCACATCGTGTTGGGTTGTTTCTGACTTTCGTGGAACAACAGCGCAAGTCGTTTGATCTCCCGAGACTAACCGGCCTTAGTCGGGGGGCCGGTTCTGACGCAGGATAACGTTCGCTGTCGACTCGCCCGAGAACTCCCGCCAAAAACAAAAAGAGGCTAGAAGTGCAGACGGTTGGGGGTATCGGTGGTACGTCCCTCCCATCTACGCCCGTCGCACACGGGGCCAGCGGCGGACACCAGCCACTGCAGTGTGTGTGTGCCGTCACTGACCACGGTACCACCAATTCACGGCCAGGTGCAGCTCATCCACCATGCCGTCCTCATGCATCGGATCCTTCGGCGTCGTGTGATGGTGAGAAGATGACGTCACGTTGTGGAATTCCGTTAGTGACGGCTACGGATGGTGTTTGGTGCTCCGTGCCATTTGTTTGCTCTGCCAGTCAAGTGGGGCAGGGACGACCACACGTCTGACGCGAGTTCTGAGCTGTCGGAGGCAGATTCGGCGTGATTGCGCTCCAACGGAGTCTACACTGGATCAGACTGACATCGCGTTGGGTTGGCTCTGACTGGCGTCATACAACACGGTGCAAGCTTGAGCCCATGCCCGCTCCGGCGCCAAGGGAGAATTACTGAGTTAAGGACTCAATTCCGATAAAGTCGAATATGTTGGCAACAGGGCAGAATATGGACCGTTGTATGGCTGTGGAGCGTCTGTATTGGGCCACATTGATGATGAAGAAGTCACACAAAATCTGCGGGAATAGTAAAAGTTGTTTTTACAGGTGATTTAGGCCGACTTATTGATTGAAACCGCTGATATTGACAGCTGCTAACCCAGGGAACTTGTTGTGGAACCTGTTTTGTTTCTGTCACTCAACAGAAGTTCGCTGGTTTTCGGGAAAAGCTTCTGTTATTCGCTGGAAACGATCACGCTGATCCCTGCGGAAAACGCAAGTATGTTTGATGGTCGACGTGGGCCTCTGAAGAAGGACCCCTGAAACGCACAGATGTATTCAGTCGCTACGGACCTCGCGCTCATCAGCTGACTGCCGGCGAGCGGCCCAACGCGTCCTTGGCGAGTAACCTTGGAGCTGGTGACCGCACGGTGGAGCAGTGTGCGTCCTCCCCAGCGTCCCAGGTGCTCAGGGAGAGCATGGCCTTTGCATGGAAGCTGGTGGAGCTGTGCAGTAGTCCATCAGCGGTGCGCTGTGGCAGAAGTGGTCCCAGTCTCGGCGGGGCCCCGGCTGCGCTGGGCTGGTGGGTCCTGCTCAGACGGACGCGGTCCATCTCCAGCTGGTGACCGTGCAGAACAGACTGAACACCGCCTCAGTCTGTGTGAGACGGCGGCGATGATGCGATCTGTATTGGGTGCATACCAGACGCGTCGGTAGGTGGATAGGAAGCGTCAGGTTCGAATCCTCCGTATTCTTCAGACGCCATTTGCGGAGGAAATCTCGGGACTCCGACCTGCGGAGGGGGGGGGGGGGGCCCCGGGGCTCTTGTCGGCTCGGGCTCAGGCCTGCGGGGAACTCCGGCTGGCTGGGCTCTGCTCGTTTCGTGCTTCGGTTGGCTCGGGCTCCGGTCGGGTCGGGCTCCCGACGGCTCGGTCTCTGGCCGGCTCGGGCTTCGGCCGGCTCGGGCTCCGGTCGGTCCAGTGCTGTCGGCACGCCGGCTGGCGGCTAAAGTCATGGCCTCGTCACATACATTTCATAGTGACACCTCGCTGATTAGATAAAGGGCGTTGCTAACGACAACGCTGCCTTTGCGATTAGCTCTCATCGGTCCACAGGGAAGTCTGCTTA